CAATACAAACATATCCTTCCTCAGAAGAGGATCTTATGGCACGGCGGTACAATCCCTACCTCTGGGCCAGAAAGTTTAGGCGCAAGTCCTATTTGCCCCAGGGTGAATCATAACACGTCCAGATATTTTATTAAAACAAGTATCTTTTCTTAAATATAGAGACCTAAATTGCATACAGCATTCCAGGCACAATCTCATGAAAATCTCATACAATTGCAGCAAGATGTGGAAGTGTTGGTGTTGGACTGGGGTGGGCAAGGTCAGAAATCACACAACATCAGGTTATAATCCAATAGGTTTTTTTGAAAACATGCTTTCGGAGCATAGCCCCTTCATCAGGGCAAAGTGTTTTCAAATAAAACTGTTTGACTCTAACCTGGTGTCGTGTAATTTCTGACATTGCAGCAAGATGTATTGCTCTTGGATTCTAATTCTCCTGTATTAAAGGCCAACATGCCATTGTCTTCTTAATTGATTCATGTACCTGCATACTAACTTCCTGTGTTTCTTGTACAAGCTTGCAAAAATCTCTCTAAACATCAACATTTGCAAGCTTCAAATGTTCTAAAAAAATCTCTGCTTTTCTATTCTCATGACCAAAGTGAATAACGTCACACTGCTTCACATTATTTCCCCATCTCTCTTTTAACCTGTTTATTTTGCAGCCACTTTGCGACCCCTTCACAGCTTACATCCCATCTACTTTTTTATTAATCAGCAAACTTAGACACATTACTCGATGTCTCAACATCTACGTCATGAATAAGTACTGGCAGTACCTGTGATCTAGACACTAATCTTTGCCACTGATGTCCATCTAATCACATCCTTTCTTAACCCCAACCTGACCTAGGAGACCAATGAACTGAAATGATCTGTGCTTTTTAATCAGTTCCCTCGATTTAAGGACCCTGTCTGGTAGCTTTGGGGAATTTAACAATGGGTTCCAAGACAGGGTGGCACATGACATGCTCCAAAGGCTAAATACAATGAGAATCTCTTTCGCAAAAGAAATGAACTGGTTAACTCTGGCTTTGTTTTCAAAAGCTGTTATGTTTTAATTTTTATATGTTCCATTAAGTGCAGCCTGTCAACTTACAAGTGCCCATGTATCCCTACTCTCTGCGTCTTGTCTATGAACTCATATGAGTACTTACTTTTTGTGTGTCACTTTCCCAAATACCTTTTGGAATTTCGGGTGTACCATAGCTAATGGCTCCCCTTTATCTAGAAATCATTCTCATTATGTTGCCTAACAACTCTAAAAATTGGTCAATGCCAATTTCATTCTCGTAAAAAAATGGTGACTTTGTCTGATAATACTACATAGAACATAGAATCCCTACAGTGCAGAAGCAGGCCACTCAGCCCTTCGACAGCACACCAACCCTCCAAACAGCATCCCACCCAGACCCACTCCCCCATCCTATCCCCATAACCCTACATTTATCATGGTGAATCCACCTAACCTACACTTCCCTGGACTCTATGGGCAATTTAGCATGGCCAAATTCACCTAACCTGCACATCTTTGGACTGTGGCAGGAAATTGGTGCACGCAGAGGAAACCGATACTGACACATAGAGAATGTGCAAACTCCACACAGACTGTCGCCTGAGAATGAATCGAACCAGAGTTCTTGGCGCTGTGAGGCTATGCTAACCACTGAGCTGCCATGCCGCCCTTGTGATTGCCTAAGCACATTATTAAAATGGTCTTAATAAGAGATTCCAGGATGTTTTTGACAACTCAAGTAGTTGCCCAGTAGTTCCCACTTTTCTCTCTCCCTCCTTTCTTGCATCACAAAGTCTCTGCTGGAGGATCCTCAGGCTCCAATTTGAGAACCAGTGCACACTAAAACTGTTAATTCCATGATCCACTGATGAGTCTCACAATCTGTAAACTTAATTAACTCTTCCTTTCCTCAGATCACATGGGGCAGTGGAAAAAATAATGTGCTTAGTGAGTTGTATTACAAGATCACAATGTAAACTTTTCCTTTCATCTCATGTTTCTCAGAATAAATTTATGAAAATTCACAATACTAGAAACCAATGAATTCATCCATAATATTTTTCAAAATCTTGAGACCATATAGCTCATTCAGTAACGTGACGGCACAGTGTAAACAACTTGCTTTTATATGGTACTTTTAACGCAATAAAACACTCATATGGCAGAATAGTGGGGCAGCAATTAAAATCAGGATTGCACAACAGGGTAGGATTACATTAATACTGATACCTAGGAGGGTTGTGGGATTGGCAAAGACCACTGAGATAGTTTCTGAAGCATATAGGGAAGTGAACAGAATGTAGTATCTTATAAGATTTTCCTTATTACAAGCTGGAGTTCTCTTGTAGCTGACACATTATGCACCATCACAAAATTACTTCTGGCTATCATTATGCTTTTGCTAACTTCTGCATCACATCTACCACCAGTATTTGTCCTACCGAGACAAACTTATGAACGTACCCCATTCTAGTTTGTTCTCATGTATCCCTTCCAAGAACCACGGTTTTTGTCTCATTGGTTTCACACTCGACTTTAGAAATCATGTTGTAAATTTTACTTCAACTATGATATATTTTAGGACCTTGCGAGTAGTGCTGTTGTCAGTATACCGCAAGGATATACTTGCTTCTGATTTTTTTGTATTTAATTTGTTTGTATTTAATTCTCTGAATGTTTGTTCTGTGTGTGGACTGAATAATCTTGGCAACAACAGTACACAGTTTTGTTGCGCTCCTCCCTTCAAGTGAAACACATCAGATTGTCCCTCTCCTAGCCTCATGTTCAGTATTTGGTCCCAATATAGGTTTTGAATAAATTGCACATTTCAGTAACATCATTTATTAACTTTTGGTGATAAACACAATCAAACGCTTTTTCATAGTCCACAAAGCATATGTAAATATTCATATTTACCTCCAGATATTTATCAGCGATTAAGTTAAATATTGCCTGTCTTCTTCCTACTCAAGGTTAAATCCAGACAGCATTTCAATGATTTCTGCTCCAAATGTGTTATTATTTCTTTCCAATATGATTTTAAAGATCACTTTAATAAGATGACTCATTAAGCTAAATTCTAAAATTTAGTTCTCCATAATCTTAGGTTTCTTAGGTAAATTAAAGAATAATGGATGTCTCAATCATTTGGAATGTATTTGATTACAAATTTCTGTTACCACTTCTAATTCTGTTTCTCCAAACACTTTTAGGTCATACATTGGTACTCCATGTATGGCTAGACCATTTCTCATACGTACATTGATCAATTTCTAGGCACTCTTTACCTCTGATAGCATAATGTTTGGTCCACTGCTTGCCTCTACATGGGGATCATCGTAAAATTTACTTCTACATTTTTGTGTCAGCTTCTCTTTCAAATAATATTTCATCATCTTTGTCTCTTATGCACCCACTAACTGTTGTCAAAATGGTCAAATGCAGCAGCTAATCCACATAACACAAGACCCCACGAAGAAAAGTGAATTCAATATATTTGGCAATCTTGATTGAGGAGAGAAAAAAAAACTCTCAAATAGTGCACCTATTTGGCCACTTCACCAATGCAGCCCTTTCTCAGTGCTACACTGAATTATCAACTCAGACTACATATTTAAATACTGTCGGGAACCTGAACCAGAAACTTAAACTTTCTAACTGGCAATGGTATCACTTTAACCTGAAGAAAGGTTAACTATAACGTTGTATACACACAAAAGCAATAATGAATACCTTTACGAACCGTATCAGAAGTAACTTTGTGCATTTAAAGCCTGTCTTTTTGAACATGTCTATTTTGTCATTCCTCCTAATACTTCTTTCCTTGGTTCAGTTGTAGTTTATATCTCTGAAGCAGTGTGGACATTTACTGTGTGAATTAAATAAGTGCAAATCACTGCTAACAGGAAAACAGCTTCAGTCCTATGAATTCTAAAAACAAACCTGCACCAGCCTCCAGTCCCAGGCTTTTCTGCACACAGATAATATGAACTTTACCTCAATCCATCCCTACTTTAACTTCTTTTCCACTCCCACTTTATATATAACTACTCCACTTGATGTGGATTGCTAATATTATTCTCCAACACTTGGAATATGCTAGGAAACATTCTGGGCAACAGCAGAAAATTGATATTGATAAAGTTAAAATATTTTTCATTCTCGAGTTAATATTCTGTCCCAAATTCTTCAGCAAATTAGAGTTTCAAGCTAGTCCTAATAAGGAAGCTCTGCACAATCTAACTTGTTAAAGCAGTTTCAATAGTTTATAATGAGTACATGCCATTTTGCAGACACTGATCTGAAATATGTAAAAACAAAATTTGTTGTTTTGCTGAAAATATTTTTTATTTGGGGGAAACTTTCACAAGAACGCATTGTTATTTGCCTTATTGCGCTTGTAAACAAATAAAAAATGTTTCCAAAATGGTATCCCTAAAAATTATTGTTTAACCAAATGTCACATATCACAACATTTTAATACCCATCTGTACGCGTCAACTATTTCATCACATATTCCACGCTTATACGGGGAACTTCACATAAACTTGTCGTGTTCCAGCCTGCCGTTCCCAGTGGAAGCACTGCAGGACCATCAGGCATGAGGAGCACTATGCCAAGTTTTGCACAGCCAGTTTCATTATCAATGTTGGCAGCGGGCACGGGGCCATGCAAAGATAAAATGTGGACAGGGATGGACAGGGATGACCAGGGGACCACCCCGCCCCGCCATGGGTGATGGATTGATGGTCAGGTGAAAGTGTCTTTGCTTTGAAGTTACCTGCTTACCTTCCCCTGGCTGTGGCCCAGCAGCTGGGGCCTGGTCCTCCGGCTGCTGCCTGACTCCCGCTGCCATGGGGACAGCGGGGTTGACATCGGGGCCGCTCCCTAGCAACCGAGCCTAGCAACGGGCAGCCGGAGCCGCGGCCTCGTTTTTGTTGTAGCCTCCTTCCCCCGCCTCCCTCGCTCACAGCGTGAATCTTACCTTGCTCCTGATCTGGCCGGAGGTCGACACTTTCCTGATGAGTTTCTGTGGCCCTTCATGCTCCCCTTCGCTGTCTGAGGACTCGTCCCCAGCGGCTCCCGGGCCGCCTCCGGTCGCCTGCTGTTGCGGAGCTCCGGCCCCAGGGCCCGCCATCGCCCCGGCCGCTGCCGCCGCCACCTTCTCCGATTCCTGCGGGCAGAGGGAAGACTTGGCGTGAGGTTGAGCCGCTTTCCTGTCAGACCCAGCCCAGCGCGGTGCGGCGCCTCCGGGCTTCGCCGCCATGTTCCAGCCGGACTCTGGGCAAAGGGTGAGACAGAAAGTTCAGAGAAAGAGAGAGAGAGGAGAAGAGGAAAAAGAAACAAGGGAGGTAGACACAGAAGGGGGAGGGGGGCAGAGAAATACACATTAGGGGGGATAAAACAACACGGAGAGATAGAGACACATAGAACACAAACAGAGGGAGATAAAGACAGGGACGAAATAGAGATGGAGAGATAAAGGCAGAGATGGAGATTTGGCAGATAAAGAAAATCAGACAGAAGTGGAAATGGTGGGGGAAAGGCAGGCTGGAAATGAATAAAGACTGAGACAAGATAAAGACATAGAAAAGGCGAGTGAAACCGATGAGAGAGATAAAGATAGAGGGACACAGCTAAAACAGAGAGAAATCGAGAATAGATGAACGGAGGAGAGGTTGAGAGAGAGAAACAAAAGAAAGTGAAATTGGGAGGAACAGAGAAAGTGATAAACACGGGGAGGTTAAATTAAAGAGGCATAAATATACAACTGTAGACAAAGACAGGGAGAAACAAAATGAAACACAGAATCAGAATGATACAACAAAAGAACCGGAGAAAACAAAACAGCAACAGTGGAAGTTGCAGAGAAAAATAGGATGACTAAAGGAAAGAGAATAAGAAAAAGTAAGAAACTGAAAATTGCAAAGGGAAGCCAAGGAAGATAAACACAATGAAACAGAAATAAAGAAAAAGAGGACTTTGAAATAAATAAAGAGAGAAACAAGGAGTGAGAGAGATGAACACAGAAAAAGTGAAAGAGACAGAGAATAGGAGATGCGGTAGTAACACACGACACCCAAAGAACCATCCAGAGAAACAGAGATAAGCACACGGAAAAACAAATACAGAAAAATGCAAAAAAAGAGGGAGAGAGATAAAGAAAAACAGGTAGACACTGAGACAAACAGAGAAACAATGGGAAATAATGAACACAAGCTGAATGAGAGAAACATAAATAAATAGGGATAGGAACTAAGAATGTGAGATATACAGATAAACAGGGGAGAGAGATGAGCACAGAAAGAAAGAAATACAGGGATAAACAAATAAGTGGGGCTACAACGAGGGAGAAGTAGAGAATGACTTATGAAAACACAGAAAAGACCCAAAAAACATACAAAGCCATGCGAAGAAATAATGAAACAGAGAAAGACACAACAAAACAATGTCGAGATATAGAAATAGAGATAATGAAAGACGGAAATAAAGAGGTAAATAAACAGAGGGCAAATGATCAGAGATAGAAAATGAAATAGAGAGAAATGCTGAGATAGACCGATAAATAGTCAGATGTAAACGAAGAACTAAGGATATAAAGAGAGTTAGAGACAGAGACACAGGCAGAAAATTTAATAAAAGTGAAACAAAACTAAAGAGTGAGAAAAATATGAGGAATCAGGAGAGAAACATAAAACAGAGAGACAGACAGTGACAGAGAAAATGGAGAAAGAAAGAAACTTACAGACGCAAAAAGAAAGAAATGTACAATAAAAAGGAACATGGTAATAGAGAAACATTGAAAAGAAATTCAGGAAATTGACAGAGAACGAGACCATAGCAAAGGAATAGATGAACACAGACTGATGGGTAGAAAAGTAGAATAAAGAAGAAAAGACAAACAAAGGATGGAAAAAAGTCAGCAGCAGACAGCTGTTGTCTAGCAGAAACAGAGGAGAAATGGAAAGAAACACATGTAGGGCGAAAGACAGGTGTACAGGCAGACTGAAGGACAGAGAAACTGCAAAAACTGATTTGAGACATGCAGAAGTGAGGTATGTACAGACAGGGAAAAAAAAATCATTAAAGCGAAGAAGCAATGAACACCTTGCACCTTTTAATGTGTTAAAGAAATATTCCACAGAAGCAGCATTTAAACAATGGCAGAAATGCTGAAACACAGAGTAGAAGGAGAAAAACATATTGACATCGACAGTGTGTCAGAACTATACAGGTGCAAAAGGTATTTAGAGAAACTACTGTGGATAAAGAAAGAGTAGATGAAGAAAGAAACTAACAGAGGCAGAGAGATTGGCAGAGAGAGAGAGACTGAAGGAAAAAAAGAGACTGAGAAGCACAAATAGCAAGTGTGAAACAGACAGGAATAAAAAAGAGGCACAGGCATGCAGAGCAAAAGCAGAATTGATGGCTTGGGTTCACGTCCCACCATCTCCAGAGGTGTGTAGTAACATCTCTGAACAGATTGGTTACAACATTTCTTTTTAAAAAGAGAAAGAAAGAGGAAGGCACTGAGAACATCTGACATACACAGATCCAGAAAGCAAGAGGCAGACAAACTGACAAAGAAAGTGAGAGAGAAACACACAAAATAGACTGTACACAGGTTGGCGTGCACAGAGAGAGAGAGAGAAGGAGCTAACACCAGAGCATGTCAAACGAGAGAGCTAGAGGTCAGTCTACAGAGAAAGACAAAAATGCAGGTGTACACAGAACTCTGCTGTTCAGAGAGAGAGAGAGACCGAGACCAAAAGGCCAGTGCACAAAGCAAGAGAGGTGCCAGTGTGAGAGAGAGAGCTAAAAGCCTGTGTACAAGAGATATAGCCACATGCCAGTGTACAGAGAGAGAGAGCTAAAGCCCATTGTACTGAGAGGAATGTTAGAGGCCGAGGTGCAGAGAAACTAAGTCTAGAAGTCAAAAACATTCAGAGATTGAAGGACAAATATCAGGAAGGAAAAATTCTGAGAGAGAGGAATACCAAAAAAAAACAGGTACAGAGGAAAAACTACATAAGCACAAAAAAATTAAGTGAGACAGAAATACACACACACAAAAGAGAGTTACAGGGATGAAGGAACAAATAGAGGACTGTGAGTGACAGATACTGAAAATGGTACAGGAGAAGAAGTCAAACATGAAATTAGATAGAAAAACAATATCAGAAGCACATACTTTTTCAGACCAGAGGCAAAGTACTGAGACAGAACCATAGGCAGAGAGAAATGGGTAAGGGGCACAAGTTACGTATAGAAGAGCTCCTAAAGAGATGAAAACGGAAACAGAAACTTTGAACAAAAACAATGAGCTATAAATAGAGACATAATATAGAAAGACATTTCCAAACTATTTATATTTCTATCATGTGTTCAGTGATGGTGGATATATTTCAAGGCGCTTCACAGAGATACAGAAAATAGAAACTGGTGTGACAAAAATGTCAGAGATAGTACGAACTGCAGATGCTGGAGAATCTGAGATAACAAGTTGTAGAGATGGATGAACACAGCAGGCCAAGCAGCATCATAGGAGCAGGAAGGCTGACGTTTCGGGCCTAGACCCTTCTGTCAGATGTGATTTATAAACAGGATCTTAAATGAAGAAAAATGTCAAGATTGAGGATGTTAAAGGACATGGAACCCAAAGTTATGACCATCAATCATAATGGACAATGCACAAGAAAAGGGAACAGGACTTGAGTAGTTGAGGGGCAAGTGAGGGGGAAATAAATAAGGAGGAATAGAATGTGGCAATGAAACGGTGAAGACTGTTGTAGGAAGGAGAGGACCATGTGACAGTTTAACCATGAGGATGAGAATGTTAGCTTTGAGGTATCAGATGACTGGGGGTCAGCATAGATCAGCAAATGGTGGGGTGAAGAGGGTACCTAGAGAATAGATTTGATGTGTAGAATGGACAGATTATGTTACCCTTCCCTGGAGAGCCTTTTGAATAGTTATGTCCATAAGTGACAGAGACAGATGGTATGTTAGTAAGGGATCTTTGTCAATGGTAAGGTTAAGGTATCCGAGTTGAAGTTTCAAGCAACTTAGTTGAGCTTGAATTACAAACAGGGAGAGGTAATGATGATGATGGCCACCCTACGAGCTTGTTGCCAAGCCGAACACATCGGTTTCAGATTTCCTAATGGTTTGCTAGAGGAAATTGCAGCTCATTCAAGACTGTTGGTCTGATGGCAGAGGTGAAGCAGGATCAAGACAGGAGGGAGTCTTGAAGGAAGGACAGTGACTTGAAATATTTACTCTTGTTTCTGTCTCCACAGCTGCCACTTGACTTGTTAAGTATTTTCAGCACTTTATGTTATAGTCCTGGAAAAAGGGGGATGCTGTCATTGTATTTGTGGAACACAAATTGAAAGTGAGCAAAAGTGCGGCCAAAAATGGATCGTTGGTATATCAGGGTGGAAAGGAATTCATTGATGGGGGATGCTTTGGCTCCAATCAGAAGATCAAGTGGAACAAGTGATGGCAAATCCATTGAGTTGACTGTTAGAGGAGAGATTATCAAGAGGGATTGAGTAGATAAAGGCACACATTGACAGAAAGGCTCCTGAAGAAAGATCATGAAACAGAGACACTGAAAGAGTGTAAGACACAGCTATAGGCACCCAAGAATAAAACATGGACATAAATATAAAGAGATCTAGGACGTATGGAGAAAGTGAGAGAAAAGCACATGATTTCATTAACCCCCTAAATTCCAGTACAAAATGAAGCTTGCAGAATGTGAGTGACTTAGAAAGACAGGAACATGAGATTCAGACACAAATCAGCATTGCCAGGCCAGCTGTTTTAACCACGCTAACACAATGACTGCAGGTTCATGCCACAGTTGGCCGAAAGTGGAGATAAACCAAATAGATTTCGTACAGCAGGTCATTATCAGTGTGTAGGCCAAAGACACTCAAATAGCGAATATAAAACAAAAACCAAATGACAGCACCTTTCAAAACTGTTGACCTCTGCCACTTGGAAGGACAAGGGTAGAAAATGCATGCAAACGTCGCCATCTGCAAGTTCTCCTCCTTCCACTCTGACTTGAAACTGAATGGGGTTTCCTCACTGTCGCTATCAAAACCCTGGAACACCCTTCCTAACAGCAACGTGGATGTACCTAAACCAAAAACACTGCAGTTC